ACACTTTTAGCTTCCGCCTCTAACCACGATCTCATTATTTAGCATACTATAATTTTGCATAGTGATTTATTATATTTGCTGCTGCGTTGTTGCCGGCAGGCAGTTTACCGGAACGATGCCCATCCGTTACCGGTGGCTCAGCTGGCTTCCACCTGTTGCATTTTATTCCCTTTTTCAGAACTTGCGTCAGAGTAGCTGTGGTGGATCCCACCTGTAGCTAACGTTTGTAGTGTGTGTGCGTGTGTGATTGTACTTTATTATTATGGGAACAGTTTCCAACCGGATGACCGGCCTCTGTGGCATTAACATGTGGTCTTCAAGGCATGCAGTATGTAGAGTCATACAAAATGAGGAGCGCAGAGAAATCCTGAAACAAGTTCGCATTCAAAAATTTGCTACATGTTTAATCCATTACATAGGATCCAGAAATACCTATGTTTCGATGATACAACAAAAATGGTTAACGTGCAGCCGTCTTAAGTCTATTGATCTCACATGACCCAGCTGCTTCCGGATACCGACTGGCAGTACTACAACTACTGCGGTTTGTAACATGTTGTGAATATTTATAAGCTGCATAAAGTTGGAATACACTAAATTCGCAATTTCGTCTGGCAAGGGTTGTGCGCATTCAGTAAGCTTACGCTCTTTTCAACATGTTCAAAATTATAAGCCGCAGTTTGATTGTAGATCATTAAGCCCGCTCTTGGTAACAGTTCTCTAGATTCACCTGTGATTCGTTTTTCTCGTACATGCTTGCTATCGTTTGCTTTGACTAGGTCGCGGATGCGATAATGACGTAAGATGAAATGTTTTCTATGTGACGCAGAAAGGAATGTAGCTACAACTGCATGTTAGTACTAGTTGCAAAACAAGGTGGAAGAGAGCCTACACATTTCTGTAAGGAGGCTAGAATGCTTAGCAGGTGCGAAATAATCAGGCTCGCGCATCGTGCCTGACATATGCCTCATGAGACATGTGGCGCCTTCAGGGGATAGAGTAACTGAATTTCTGCCCACTTGCTATATCCCACACATAGGTTACGGTGTTCAGTTAAGTTGAAGGCGCGTTCAACGAACAACATTGAAAAGGTGTCCCAATGTAGACAATGATTAGAGGGTGTCCGTGCGCGATCGATTTAGCGCTCAATCTCAAGTAGTCCAAAATCGAACATAAGGGATTAATATACCGGGATATAATTGGTGCCAATAGTAATATCGAGCGCACTGTATATTCACACTAGTAATAATGTTATATTCATCAAATTACTACAGTTCCCGTTACCACTAATTCTGTTGAAACACCCGATAAGCCAACTCCATTGTAATAACAAACGATCACTGAATATCTTTACGTATTTAGTGATTTAAGTGTGCAACATTGAAGGATTTTGGGTGCTACTCGAAGCTGGAGGTGATGTACTCGCTTGCTCATCAACTAATCTCATGCTGTACTGCAGGTTTAAACATCACACATATTTTCACTAAGTAATGCCAATATATAAGTATCGCTGGTTTGAAGTTGTGTAACAATGTTGCAGAAACACAGCCCATTTAATAATTTCCGCAATGCCCATGGGGGTTAAGCTCATTAAATCAATTGAACAAACCAATCATCTTCCTCGAATAATCACACAAGTACATTGGTTCCCCACTATATTCTATCGTCGTTTTTGCTCGCATTTCAGTAAGCAAACGAAGTAAGTCCTTTTCGTATGTAAATCATCCTAATGAGACAGTGAAGAATTAACTGCTCAATCTGTAAGTGTACTTCCAACTATAGTATCTCATAAGTGCTCGATTAATGTGGATCCAGGCTAGCAGGAACCGTTACCCTTCAAGTTGGCAAACAACATGATAATGTTGGCATTTTCTTTGCGGTGAATAATGTCAGTTCGGTCAAATAATCGTAGGCGTAAATCGCCCAGTTGTCTTACACTTACTCCTGGTAATCTATTCATTTACATGAAAACAGAGGCGACGAAGTCAACACCACCATCTGGTAAGTGGTTCTAACCGGTTTGTCCAGATCTCTTAATCGTATTTCACAACAACTTACTCAAAGTCGAACATTGGTTTACCGGATATTAGATGAGTTCTATCTCAATCTGCTGGTGCGGCTTAGTATTCGTTTCGTCATATCTCAATGAATATGGTTTGTAAAGCGCAGTTCACCGAAACTCATTTGACCAACTTTGTAAATCTACTAAGTTTAACGTTTCATGTATTTAGGAGCAGTGATTTCATAGTGTCTTTTTAACTATTTAGCAAAATTTTGATGTTATCATTAGCTTCCAATGATAGAAGAAGAGAAGATCTCCGTAATCTACAATTACACAAACTGGACTATGGGGAGATTTGAGATCTTATACATCAGGCAGATGTGACCCAGTCAACTTGAGCACAAAACAGTGTTTATTAGCAGTAACAGTTCTTTAAGATGAAGAAAAGATCAATATTTAGGTTTGCACATGGTCTTTCGAGTCATTCGAGAAAAACATGTTCGGCGGACTGGTCATCAAGTGTGCACTGTCCCATAATATTTGATATTTTCCGACCACAGACAACTGCGGAGGCGAAAAGAATGGCCCGAACGGAACGATATCGTTCAAAGGAGATGGAAAAGTGAATGCGTTGTGTATTTGGAGATTGAGGATTGGCGAAGGGAAGAAGGTGCACCTCCAACTGAGAGCAAAGCAAGAAAGTGGATTGTTTTCCGAATCTAGTTGTGATTTAGGCCTTAAAGTCATTCTGTCGATGAACTAAATATTAGCGATTTGTAAATTCATTGTTTCTCTGGGAACCTTATTGTTTTCATGGTTATAAAGAGGATGCATAACACCTGCCTAAAACTTCGCCTTTGGCGTGCCGTCGTTAATCACTATAGAGAATGCACATGGAGCGAATGGAACACTTTCTTATAAGTTGCTTAAGATTTATATAGTCGATTCTTTAAGTAACCGATACAATCATGAAGCAACAATAGAAAAATCAGATTTATTTACCCAAGTAAAGTGTGTCGTATTCCTCACCTCATGATTAATCCCCTGAGTGCCAATCTTTCGTCGGAATCAGTCGGTTCGTGGGTCCGCATACTGGACGGTAGCGACTGTTCTGCTCATGAACTTGCCCGCATTACCGTTCAGAACGAGTCACAAACGTACAATGAAACTTCAACGTCGAACGTGGTGATGGTGATATTTTCCTCGGTGATTGGTTTCCCCCCAGAAGAACTCCGAGCATTCTGTTGAGATGGTAAGTGCTGCGTTAGTGGTGGACGAAAATGAAGAACAAATAATGATTAGGTACCTACATCCATCGGTACTGTGTTTGAATCAACCGCTTACGCTCCATTTGTCTTATATCTGGTAAAACATTTCCTCTGTGGAGTTAACAGACAAGCGAAGCCCGTCTATGCTTCAAAGGTGCACTCAAGTTTAAAATCCACTAGAATATTCAGGGGTAAAACTCGACTTAAAATTCCTAGTAAACATTCGATGGAACACTGCATTAATCCTGTTTTATCATTATCGCCCCGAAATTAGAGGGGATCAAATAACATGGATAGTATGGCTAAGATTTCCCCATAAGCATAACATCTGTGGTTGTCACCGTTGAGAACCAAGTACTTGGTGCGAACTGGTGCTTCGTTGTTTGTGTCGAAGACGAAGTTGGCTTCTAACAATTGATAAATGATCAATTTTTACATTGCTATTGTAATGAACAGTGAATGACAAGCCCAACCTTGAGGTCAGTTGCTAGAGGGAAGCAGAGTAGGATGCACAGAAAATAGCAGTAGTATCCATTAGGTTCGATGCATTCATGCGTTGTGAACAGGTGCTTTACCGCTCAGTCAATCTACATGTTTATCGCAAAACATGAAAATTATAGTGATTTCGACGTACCATCTGACGATGGAACGCCACGGTTACAAACTAAGATGGTAACGAAGAACCTGCTTTACCTTTAACTGCAACCATTGTGCGATTTGATTCTTTTGTTCCCTCGGTATTTAACAGTTTAAACTAAATATCCATGAAGATAGTGAAATGTGCAATGTCGAAAACTCGGCACATGCTAAAACCTTACAACTAACTGTTGATGGCAACTCAACAGGCGATGCAGTGCTGCCTTTGTTCAGGCCTTCTTTCTGAGTAGTGAACACGGTAAGATGATTGGAAGTATTGATTACGTCGTTTGCCTATTTGTACTGTGCAGTCGCTGTTATCCTCTCAACCCACTGGTCCAAATCTATACATCGAAATAGTAGTTTCGCTGATTCCGGTCCCCACTTAGTGCATAAACTCGCACTGCCGATGCATCTAGAAGCAATACCGTCCAACCATCCTCTGTGTGTGTTGGCCATGTAGTTGAGTGGCGTTGTAACAATCGGTCTTTGAAGCCCCATGCTTGCCAGAAGTAGAGTACGATTTAAACAACTACGACGACATTCTGGGTGGGCATCTGTGTGATAAAGTAAAGGGGTGCGAACATCGCAATACTGAAGCGCTACCGCGGTCTCAAAGGAAATAAACTAAAATATTTTGTGGCCCAGAGATGGAATGTTGGCTGCTGACTTACTGAGGTGAATTCCAAATGCGTTTCCCTCTTTGCATGCTTTGCTACGCGACGGACTCATACAAAAACGTTCGCAGAAGTGCTCGCTATCTGTTTAACCACAAAAGTATATGAACGAGATCTTCTCGTTCGAATGAAACTGTGTTGTTCTACCCACGTTAAATACATCTACAACACCGCTTTGTCCTTTCGCTACTGCACTTACCGGGCACATGATGCAATGACGATCGCTCACACTTTGATTCTCCAATTTTATCGATTCAATAACACACAGATTGTCCTGTTTCATGGTGGATCTTTTCAACGAATTAGGGATCCTAGTGATTGCTTACGTACATGCATAGCGATTTCAATTCCAAAACAGATCTGTCAAATTACCGATGGAGCGAAAATTCCATTCATCGTCTCGACCTATCCTTCCGCGAACAGTAGCATAGGAAACGACATCAATCTATCATGCCGGCATCTCTTTCTTTGGTACCATCCAAACCATATATGCAAAGATCGGAATCGACGTAGATGATGTGAGTGCCCTATTCGACCATGACTCCGAACCGGAGAATGGTTCTGGTTCTGTGTTGCAGGTGAACCTTTGCTTTGTCCCCAATGCTAATCGGTCTGTCTTACTTAACAAGATTTCCCACTTTATTTGAGTGATGGTGAACAATGCAGTACATGAGACGAGGTGGAAAAGTGAATAGAAATTGGGGAAACTACCATATCTCGTTCGATGAAGGAGGCAAGAAAGAATTCAGAGAATAAGAAAAGCACTGACAAGGCATAACAATTAAATAAATCACTCATCTCAAATTAGCTGTTCGGCTGATCCGTTATGAAGAAATATGGAATGGGCGTGCCTTATTGGAGTGATTGAACGGGTCAACGCTGAAAGCTAGACAACCAATGGGAAACGGACATAGCGGATTCGATCGCTGGGCACAGATGGGCTAATGTTCCTACGGATTCTCCACCGGTTGTTTAACTCATTAGGGTCATTTGTTATGTATGTGAACAGACGATATACTTCGAAGTGTTTGACATGTCGACCATGCTCTAATGTGGCTGAACAGATTGCCAAATAAACGCGTCACTGAAGGACTGAGTTTGTTAACAGTGCATACTAACAGAATGAAAACAGACCTTAGATATTATGTAACGGAGGCAATCAGCTGGATTACAGCTTGTGCCAAACGGAATCACTACTGCCTCAATTCCAGAAAGCCCTATGAATAGCCAAGGATCTTTTGGACTAACTGGTGCTTAACATCGTGCCAGAAATGCATGGGTCAGGCCGCTTCAACAAACTAATCGCGCTCACCGAAATGCCACAATTCACAGTTGCAAACAAAATAACTTGAAATCTTTTAACCACCATTCCATGGTTAGGCTGCTAAACGGGAGCAAACCGCACGTCTGGATAAGATATGACTTACGACGTCAGGAAAATATTATTTCAATGTGATTGGTTTGTCAGTGTCTTAAAATGGAATCAGTAAATCTTGCACAGTAAAGCAAGGAACACTTGAACGCCATTAAACCGTTCCTCGTGATTAATTGGAAATATTTGGTAATGAAATACGGAACAAATTTAAATGTTGCTCCGGTCGCAGCGTCGTCTGAACTGCGCTATAATCGGAAACAGTGCTGACCTTCGACAATTAAAAATGCTTGTAAACTACTTATGAAGAATAAGTAGCATAACATGTTGACGAAATGTAGCGTTATTGCGCCCGTACGGCTAATCGTAATTGTGGGCAGCCGTATGATTCATATGCCCAATTGTTAACGGATTAATCGATGTACAATTGCATATGGAATGCCAAATGACCGCATTGTAACGATAGATCTCAACAAAAATTAACAGCTTGACCTCCAAGAGGTTCTGCTATAAGCACCTAGCGTTATTAAGGCTTTCCACCACATTCAAATTTATTGAGTAATCAGCTCCACACGTTTACGTTGATAAATTACATCGGACAATGGCATTCTGCGGAATCTGGGTTACAACTACAACAGCGTACAGAGCTGCGCTTCAGTGGATCACAGTAGAGATTACGCGGGAACACACGCGGAAACGATACGCTCGATATTCGTGACAAAGTAGCGACCATACGTTTGTGCATAACATAGATTGCAAGGGTCCTCAATTCAGCATCACAGTCAGTAAACATTTTGTCACTAGATATCAGCATGCAAGCTTTAATAAACCATCCTTCTTAGGTAAATCTCGTTAAGTAGCTTTTAATTATCTAGTCTCATCATGCTCATTATACACATTGACTAGAAATGGGAAGCACCTCAGCTACCGTGTCGCAATACATAAAGGAAAAGGAAAGTAAATATAACAGTTGCATGCCAGCTGAGCTAGCAGCAACGGATAGGTAGCGTTCCGGTAATCTACCAGCCGGCTACTAGGTACTAAGAAAAATTATTATGTAAAATTAAATTACGATACGAAATGAGATGGTGGATGGTGGGGGAGGCTTAAAGGGAAGGGGAGGGACAAAGGAACTCACAGCAAGAACGCCACTGATGTGGGCTCCTAGCCATATCAGCAAGTGTATCTAGCCAAAGGTGTTCATCATATTTTGGACCTCAACCAGGGAGCCATGACGCTCCAACTGAGGCCAGCTTCGAAGTGAGGGCCTTCATTTCTCTCGACCAAGTCATCGCTTGACCGCCTCTCCTCTTCTTCCATCCACACCCTCGGCGCGCAAACAACGCACGTCGCGGGAGTCGGTGGGCTGGCATGCGTAAAACGTGACCGAGCCATCGGAGCCTGGTGCGTGAAATGACGGTGCTGAGCGGTTCAGTTCCTTTTTCTGTGCCGTAAACAAGGCGTCGAACAGGCTCGTTACTCACGCGGTGTTCCCACCAGATGTCAGTTAAATTGCGAAGGCACCGGTGGTCGAACGTAACTACCATATTTAGGTCCGCCGATCTGAGGGCCCAGGTTTCGGAACCGTACAGTAGTTCGAACGTACCGCTGCATTGTACACTCTACCCTTCAGGGCGAGAATGATTTCGCTCCGTCGCCGTAGGTGGCGAAGGTTAACAAAAGTGCCTCGAGCTTTTGCTGTGCGGTTCGTGATCTCGTCTTCAATCGAAATGGGACTGATACCACTTCCTAGGTAGTTGAATTTTTGAACGAATTCTAGCTGATCCCCATCAAGGGTCAGCGAAGGATGCGGTCCAGGCCAACCTTAAAGGAAAGTTTTGCAGTTCGAGAGTGCGAAGCAAAGCCCGAAGCGGTTGACAGCCAGTGCTAACCTGTCCAGTGGCGCTTGGCACGTCTCGGAGCTGTCACTGATTAGGGCAATATCGTCAGCATACTCCAAGTAAAGAATTCGATCTCCTGGGAACAGATCCACACCTTCTAAGTCATTTCCGGTAAATGCGATTTCCATGACTTCGTCGATAGCGCAGTTGAACAGGAAACGTGACAGCGGGCATCCTTGTCTCACACCGCTGGAGATATTGAAGGGTGACGACAGCTTGCTGTAAGCCTTCGCTCTGCCTGTGCTACGCGCATATAATGCTCTGATAATTTCACATATTTCTGGGGCGCAGATTTCCTGAGTACACAGTCTCAAAGGTATTTCGA